AGCGCATTCTTCTCTCGATTGTCCTCCGCCCCACACACACATTCCCTTCTAAAACCTCCCCTGAGACTCTCACCCCCGCCCCACAAAAGGTGCGCAAAATAAAAAAAATCTCAACATAAAAGTTCAGTCAAATTTGTGGTTTTTCCACTGGTCGCGCTTTTCTCATATTGACCGCTCAATTGTAAATGCCAAATTACAAAGCTAATTACATTGCAATTTCATTTTGCGTATGAAATGCGCTCCGCTTTTTCGCACAATTTTTCACACCCATCAATTTCACTTTTCCGCCCGACTTTTTGTCTCCCCTGCCATGCAGAATAAATCCACCTCCGCGCAATCATTGTGCATTATGCAATGGCACAAAGTGGAAATTGTTAAAAATAATTTTTACACGCCTCTTTGTCCATGTCATGTTTCCCAATGTTCGTCCCTTTGAGCGCATTTTTCATCATTTTTCCGAGCCCTTTGCCATTTATGCGCCTCTGGGGGTGAAAATTACACAATGCACATATTTATACTGTGAAATAAATATGTATTCTATAGGAACTTCGTGGCATTCTGACACTGCTTTCATGGAAAATTCCAGCATCAATTGTGTCAAATATGTATTATACATTATTATAAAGGGACAGATATGAGATTGGGATGAGCTTGTGATTATCAAAACTATGCTGAATTAGAAAGGAAATTATTGGACTTTATTTATAAAGTGAATTTTGCTGTTGTTTTCGGGGTTTATCTTAAAAGTTCCATGAAATTTCTGGTTTCTACTGCTGAAATAGCAAAGTGTGAATGTCTAAAGACAAATTCAATTACAGACTTTTTAGAGACATGAGATTGAAATCAGTGCAAAAGCTCAAAAAGCCCTTTTCTGCGATGCTTCTCTCGCACTTGTTTGCCTTTGCTTTTGGTGTCTAATGAGAGAAGTCTCAGCGGCGGGATAAGATTTACGATGACTCTACAAATACTCTGCAAAAGCACATAGCGAGGGAGAGGAGAATATATAAATGTTTCGCAGTTGAAGGCTTAATTTTCTGCATTTTAAGTGCCTGCCTAAATCCACTCATGAGCATCTCACCAAACAAAGTGCAATAATTCAATCGAGGAGCCGAGATTCATTATGACGATGCCGAGGAGCAGCTCTGCTATGCAACAAGGAGAGAAATTGTACACAAAAGCTCTCACACTGATCGCTGTTCATATCGCTTATGCTCAACTTGGCTCAACCTCCGCCCATCCACAAACTAGTAAAGTGTGAAAGTTTTGGCTTTATGCAAAATTTACGATTGTATGTTTCGTCTGTTGCGGCAGTGGAAATAAAGTTGGACAATTGGTGGGAAATTCCTGGAGCATAAATTTTGGGCTATGGCCATTGTGGAAAAATTAAAATTTTACAACTCAATAATCCGATTCGGGGCGCGCGGAGAGATTTTCTCTCTGTGCCCGAAGAGCTTCAAGGGCTTTTGGGGGAATTTTCCGCATGTGGATCAGAGTCCCCACCCCATTCGCAATTTTCCACCCACAGACACACAGGAGATAATCGCGTCAGTGTCTCTTCTCGAGTAGATCGAAAACGATTGTGTTCGCTGGAGAAGACAAAGGCGGAAGAATCCTCAAAAGAATGGCAATTCTATCCTCTTCATCCACGGCAAATGCACACAAACAAGGGGCGCGTCGATCTGGAAAACACGGACATGTACGAGCGGCAATCGGTACGGGCACGAAGTCTGAGTGGGCGGGGTTTTCGCGTGGGTGGAGCTTCTTGAGCTCTCCACAGACACTCAAAGTCCATCACTGAGCGCTCTCTTCGTCACCCCTCAAAAGCAGCCTCACTTCTGACAACGCTCGCCCCGTTGAGAATCTCGCTTCACCTCGTCAAAAAGTGGAGTTGGATTTTTGAGTGAAGGCATCATTGGTGAAATGCAGAAAGGATCATCATCAAAAAAGTATAAAGGGCTTAATGGACCAGAGAACTTTTCAATATTCCACAAATCTGCTTTTCACAAATGTAATTTGACTTTCTCGTGCATCGTCATCATCCCCTTGGCAAAAAAGTCGAGGAAAATCCACTTCCCTTCCATCGAGAGGATGGAACAATACAGCAATATACAGTCGATGGTGAACAACTTGGCAATGCGATAAATCCAACGAGAGTCGGGGAAAATGTCATTGAAAATATAAATTAATAGAATTGGTCTTGTGCCGGATCTCATCGTCTTTTCCCTTTCACAGCAAAGGGATTCACTCTGTTTTTTATCAAATTTGTCAACAACATCTGCATGGCAGAAGGTTCCTCTTTTTTGCCATACAATAGAGAGAGTTGCGATGAGATTTATCACTGGTTGCGTGCATTTATCGCTCTCTGACCCACTTTCAACCCTTAATTATACATTTAAATTGTGCCACCATGCAGCATTTATCCCCAGGAAATTATCTAAATTGTATCGCGAGATTAACACAATTGAGCACCCACAATATTTTAGCTGGCGAGTGCAAATGTTGCATTGAGTCCCGAAAATGGTTTTAGTTTCACCATCAAACCAGATTAACAGCTCAATTCTGTATTTATTTGTTAATTTTATTAACAAATCCAATACCACGGTAATCTCTTGTGGACGAAAATCGTCGAGAAATGGGGAATTTTGTTTGGAGAAGAGTGTGTGTGTGGAAAATAGTCTGAATGGAAGTTTATTTATTGTAAATTTACCATTAAAGGTGAAAAGCGGAGAACAATGGTGGAAATTTGAAATAAAAATTCTCTCTAGAGAAGAGAATGAATGTAGTTAGAGCGAAAGTGAGTGAGAATTTCCAATAAAATCCCAACAATGAGAAAGCTTCTTAACTCTCTATTTATGTAGGTTATCAGGCACTTTTACGGTATTCCATTATATTGCAGAAAGCCAAGGGGAAGATAATATGCTTGAAATCTTAACACTTCAGACACTTTTAAACGTCTTAAAAAGACATTTTTCGTCGCTTTTTAGGTTTCTTCAACTGTTTTTCACCCCTTTTTCTGATTTATCACACTTTTATCATTTTTTTTCCGTCTCAAGAAGTTTAATTTATTGATTTTCTAGGTTAATTCTTTCGAAAATGCTTTAAAAAAATCTAATCAAATTGTGAGATTATGAATCATTCTCCATTTCAATCCTTTCGCAAATATAAATGTGCAAATATGGTGAATATCACAATGTTTCTATGACACAATGATGTTGCATTTGGCACTCAAACCGCGGAAATTATTGACATTTTTGAGGTTATGATTGACTTTAAAGCGTTTTCTCAAGTAATTGGAAGTTTTTCCTTCAAAAATACTCAAATCTATCAAGAAAATTTGAAATATTCCCAGCATTAACACAAAATTGATGATTTTGAGATTTTTTTTAACCACCCAGAATCTATTTTGAATTAATCACATAACCTAGAAAAATAATAAAATTGATTTTTTCTAAGAAAAAAGCCTCAATTTGGTGAAACAGAATCTCTTGCAAAACAAAGAAATTTGAAATATTTTGCCACTTTTTATTCTTTACACTTTCACAAAAGCTGTACACCACTTTTGATCATAATATCTCCCCCTTGTAAAAAGCCATATAAGTCATTTTCCAATGAAAACCACCGTATTTAATTCCTCTTCAGAAGCAGTGAGAAATTCACAAACTAAAGCTCCTCCTCGTTGCCTCCTTGAGGAAATTGGACCGTGTCAGATGTCACTGGAGGCAGACTCGAGGCCCATGATTGTCTGCAATTATTGCCCCTCGCCGTGGATGTAATTGGCGGCAGGCGGGCGTGTGCGGCGTGTGTGCAGAATGAGGCTGCCTCGGGGGGCCTCCATAGGCGGTTGTGATGATAAAATAATGCAGGAAAAACGGCTCCAACCGTGCGTCTCAATCACTGGATGCTTGATTATTTTGCTGTTCCCTTCAGAATTCCACAGTCACATACGACACGTGTCATACGTGAAATTGACGTGATGTGTGAATTTATGTGGAGTGACTACGGAATTAGTTGCGTTCAGCGTAATATCTCGGGGCGGCGCATTTCATCGCCAATAAACGATTTCTCAACATTGAGCGCGCTGAAAAGCTTGGATTACAAAGCTCCAGAGATTTGTGGTGGCGTCCTTGAACTTGATCGTTGATCGGAGAGAATCTCCAAGAACTTGTTCAATAAATAGACAATATAATTAGCAGGTGAGTGGCCGAGACGCGGTGTTTTTCCTCCGCTGATAGCGCCAAGACGTGTTCGGTATCAAGAACATAAATAAAGGCGCACAAGTGGAGAGTGTCAAAAATCTCGTCATGCAGAGGAGCAGGTCCATTTATTATGGCTTATGGAATGGTAATTAGTGAGAAAAAGTGCAAATAAATGCTTATTCAATGTGTTGACTTGGGTGAAGATTAAATTGTCTGTGTTGATTTGTTGATAAAGTCACCAAAAGTGTAAAGGCATTGCACAATTTGGCACACTTTCAATGAAAAATATATCGCTCAGTGGCGTATTTTGTCCAAAAGTTGGTTTTTCGCACGTTGAAGAAATTATTTTAACCAATTATTGGCGCCTCACTATTTGATCTTTCTATGGATAAAGAAATTTCTCATGGAATTTTACTATTTCTCATCCGCTCTATTCCAGTTGAATCTCAAATTTGGTACTTTTCCGCCAAATCTCTTATCACAGCTTTGCGTGATTTATTTGTAAGACACTCCGCACTTTGGTGATCTTTCGACTCACGCGATCGCATAATTAAACACTGCAATCTGAAGTTTCAACGATTACACATTTCTCGCAGTGCAGCGGCTTCAATGTGTTAATTGTTAATATTTTTCACTCTCAGCTTAGCCACACAAACATTGATTGCCGGCAATTCTCTGGCATTGCTGATGATTTTGCCGGTTTCCACCACACACAACAAAGTGACCATCGCCGATCAACACACAGAAGTCAAACGAGATCTGGCGATACGGTATAAAAGTCGCCAGCCCAACAGTTTCTCCCCTCAGTGTCGATCATCGGTTTCAGTGTGTCGGCTCTGTTTGTGAATCTGTGATCTTCTAGCCTTGCGGAGAGACATCATGAGGATCGCCGTGATCCTGCTGTTGGGCGCCTTGGCGATCGCCAGTGGCGCCGTGCTGAAGAAGAGCGGCGAGACGCCCGAGGAGGAGGAGATCAGAGCTGATCAGCGCCTCAAGGAGATCAATCAGGAGCTGGCCAGGAGGAAGAACATCAACACAGTGGCTGCCTGGGCTTATGCATCCAACATCACCGATGACAATCTCAAGAGCATGAACGAAGTGTCGGTGGAAACGGCCAAATATCTCAAGGTGAGTTGTGAAAATGCTGGGAAAAAATTCGATTTTGCGGCTTTGTTGAACATGCTCAAGGAAGGGTTATCACTATAGTAATGAGCAATTTCACTCTTTCATTGTTCACTGCGGTTACAAATTGTGTAAATTAACCGTTTTCGATTTGCTTCTGTATGAAAAGTTAATTTAATTCACAGTTTAGAGACGCAAACGATCGCCATAAAATGATATTAACAAGTTATTATAACGATCGTGCGAGTTTATATAAAAAAAAGAAGGAGAGTGCAGCAATACTTTGGCTAGTCATGTGACAAAATTCTGCAAAGTAGAATCAATTTTGAAGGTGAAAAAGGTGATCTTCTCTGCGAAAATCGCAATGTGAATGTTAATAAAAGCAATTAATTTTTTTTATTGATAAAATATCACTTTTCTAACCCCATAAATTCCATTTCTCGATGACAATCACGCGAGAGAAACTTTACATTCTATATATTTACTCTTTTTATATCTCTGGGTTATTCGCCAATTAAGAGAAAATATATATTTCTTATTTTAATGTGGGAATGACTGTAAAAGACACTCAGGCAGAATGCAATTGAATTTCAATGCATTACCTTCGAAATTGCCTCTGGAAGTGCGCGATTTTGAGATTGAACTACACGGAAAATCGCTCAATGATTTTCATCAATATTCAATTTGGATTCGTGACAATGAACTTGCGTCAATGGCGTGATTAAATACCACCTTAGAATAGTCAATTTGGAAAAGAATGAATGAACTTCAAGCACATTTTGGGATGTTTTGTTATCATCGCTTTGCCACATGAATTCTTAATTCATGCAGAAACAATTTTTTTTTTCAAAGTCACAATTTTTTATTGATTCTGTGTAGATTCTTATCGTGATTTAGAGGTCTGAGTATCAGAAATAGTGTTGAAACAACAATTATTTTTCTTTACATTTCCCGTGTTTTAGGAACTCGCGTCGGAGTTGAAGGAGTTCCGCGTGAAGGACTTCAAGAGTGAGGATCTCAAGAGGCAGATCAAGAAGCTGTCCAAGCTGGGCTACAGCGCCTTGTCATCGGAGAAGTACAAGGAGATCCTGGACGCAATCACTGCGATGGAGTCGAACTACGCAAAGGTGAAGCTGTGCTCGTACAAGGATCCCAAGAAGTGCGATCTCTCGCTGGAGCCTGAGATCACGGAGATCCTGATCAAGAGCAGAGATCCCGAGGAGCTGAAGTACTATTGGAAGCAGTGGTATGACAAGGCTGGCACTCCGACTCGGGAGAACTTCAACAAGTACATCGAGCTGAGCAAAGAGGCGGCCAAGTTGGACGGATTCCAGTCAAGCGCCGAGTCTTGGTTGGACGAGTACGAGGATGAGACGTTCGAGGAGCAGTTGGAGAGCATCTTCCAGCAGATCAGACCACTGTACGAGCAGCTGCACGCCTACGTGAGATTTAAGCTGAGGGAGAAGTATGGAGGCGAAGAGGTGCCGGAAAAGGGACCAATTCCCATGCATCTGCTGGGCAATATGTGGGGCCAGACGTGGGGTGAGGTGGCCAGCATCCTGGTGCCCTTCCCGGACAAGAAGATCCTGGACGTGACGGAGGAGATGGTGAAGCAGGGCTACACGCCCACTTCCATGTTCCAGAAGGGCGACGAGTTCTTCCAGAGCCTCAATATGACAAAGCTGCCGGACAGTTTCTGGAAGAACAGCATCTTGGAGAAGCCCGAAGACGGCCGGGAGTTAGTGTGCCACGCCAGCGCCTGGGATTTCTACGACCAGGACGACGTGAGGATCAAGCAGTGCACTCGCGTGACAATGGATCAGTTCTTCACGGCGCATCACGAATTGGGCCACATTCAGTACTATCTTCAGTACCAGCATTTGCCCACTGTCTACAGAGAGGGCGCCAATCCAGGTGAGACCATGAAATTGCTTTATTGTTCAGAACTGGGATCAGGGTTTGCGTGATTCCTTGCAGGATTCCACGAGGCCGTTGGCGACGTCTTGTCGCTCTCAGTCTCCTCGCCCAAGCATCTGGAGAAGGTCGGTCTGCTGAAGGACTTCAAGTTCGACGAGGAGGCGCAGATCAATCAAATGCTGAATCTCGCCCTGGACAAGATGGCCTTCCTGCCGTTCGCCTACACCATTGACAAGTACCGCTGGGGCGTCTTCCGCGGCGAGATCCAACCGTCCGACTACAACTGCAAGTTCTGGGAGCTGCGCTCGCAATACGGCGGAATTGAGCCGCCCGTGACACGATCAGAGAGTGACTTCGATCCGCCGGCCAAGTATCACGTGTCGGCCGATGTGGAGTACCTGCGCTATCTCGTCTCCTTCATCATCCAGTTCCAGTTTCACCAGGCGGTGTGCGAGAAGGCGGGCCAGTTCGTGCCCAATGATCCCGAGAAGACTCTCCTGAACTGCGACATCTACCAGAGCACCGCGGCGGGCAATGCCTTCAAGGAGATGCTGCAGTTGGGCTCGTCGAAGCCCTGGCCAGATGCAATGGAACTCCTCACCGGACAGCGCAAGATGGACGCCTCGGCGCTGATTGAGTACTTCAGGCCGCTCAGCGAGTGGCTGCAGAAGAAGAATAAGGAATTGGGAGCCTATGTGGGATGGGAGAAGTCCACAAAGTGTGTGAAAAACTAAAGCGACAGATTTTCCAATAAAAAACCATCCATGATTTCAATTCAAACTGCTTTTTTGCCATCGTCAGATGAAAAGTGCCGGATTATTTTGGTAGTGTTCATTGAAAAATCGAGCTTTGACATTAATAATTCCCACAAATAGTCCTGTTTGTGGGGCAAAAAGGATGCATTTCCGCATGAATAATTTGAAAAATGCATTAACTCTAAATGCATGCAATTAGGTGATATTTAGGGAAGTATTTTATCATTAACAGCAGGTTGAGCATGATATTTACTACGCCACTGATTGGCACTGAGTTCAAATGGGACGTAAAAGATCAGCCCAAAGCGACCCTTTAGTCCTTCATGGTCACATCTACAATTCAGGAGCTCCTCGTTGACTTTGAAGAGACACGGGAACACCTGTCCCCAACCCATAAACGCTCACAGACCCTCGTTTTGTCTCTCCCACCGCACGAAGAAAGGCCACAAAGGGCTCAAAATCGATAAATGTAAATTCGAGGGGCTTTTTTATTAAGTTTGTGTGAGATATAAATTGAGATTTACAGTGGGTGCCTCGCATTTTCGTTGTTGCCCGAGCAATTTATGTATGGCGACCGTCCTTTTGGCGTGGCATGGGGACGGCGATCCAGTGAAGGAGGCCGAAATTGGCCGGCTGATGGGGGGGAAAAAAGCTTCCAGGGCGAGACGGTAAATTGAGGCGAAAGAGTGACATCATGTGTGGGTGGCCGAGGGACAATTTATTTGACGCGGAAGTTGGGCTAAAATGGCTTCTCCCAACATCGGGAGTTGATGGGGAAAATTGAATTTTTTGCTCCAAAATTACCGGTGGACTTTGAAGATTTTTTACAGCATAAAACACTCTTAACTTTCTATTCCCATGCCAATTAATTTAATTTTTTTTTGGATGTAGAAAATTTTGCATTGTCAAAATGCCAAAACCCCGAAAAACCATAGAATTCATCGCATGTTTCGCGATGTTATTTGCGGAATGAAAATGATTGTGAGAGAGAAAAAGTGTGAAATAATGAAGTGCATGACTTTGATATACATTTGCATTCCAGCATGGAGAAAAGTGTAGAATTGTCGGTTTGGGATATTCAGCATTTATTGCAAATAAATTGGGCAAATTACAATTATTGGCTTTTGCATTTACTCAACCGCACTGAATTATTTTGTCATGGGCAATTTGGCGAAAACTAATTAAATTTCGCCCAAAATGTAACACCTATGCAAATGCATCGATAATTGTGGGCAAGAGTAGCGAAAATGGGCGCAAAAATATTCTCTCTCTCTGTGGCTCTGACTTTGACCATTTCCGCGCGCGCGGAATCATACGTCAAAGTGACAGGAGACTTAACGACCTGACCAGAGTCGTTCAATCAAGGAGGTCTGAATTTATCCTGCGGCTGGCGGACCTCACATCGGGATAAATTCACGTGGTTGGCGAACACTAAAGCACTCATTTTTATTGCCAGTCATGGTTCCACTTGGGCGCCTCGGCGCCCCTTTTGTGGGTGGCGAAGGCGAATAAATAACAGCAATACGCCTTGGAGCGATTTGCACGTCGCTGGAGGGCATCATCTGAGGATCTCCGTGGCATAAATTCGCGGCCGCCCGCCGAGGGGGGTGGAGAAAGAGGGCCAAAGCAAGTCGCAATCTTTTTCGTATAATTTGAAATTCAGCTCGCGCGAATTTGTCTACCAAACAGCAATTTAGCACAATGAAATTGCAGTTGTGCTTTTTTGCTCTTCGTCTCCATTCTGATTTGCTCTCGTTCACTACAATGTTCCCCTCTGTGCTATTTTATTTTCCCAGCCAAACCTCACCCACAGAGCACACACACTCCGGAGCCCATCGAGCTTTTTTGCCACCCTTTTTTCCAGCCCAGAGTTGAGCTGCACGGGGGAAAAGCAAGAGAAAGAGAGAAAATCACTGTCCAATGTCTGATTGTAGATAAACCCGTGGATGAGCAGGATTTCTGGTCCTATTGTGGCACCTGGCATTACCTAAATCAAAGTGTAATCCAAGAAACAGTGGGAATTGGTCACTAAAATCACCATGAGATTCTTTTGTGACGTTTTGTACGACAAACTTTCTTCGAATTCATCATTATGATTCTACCAATAAATAAAGTTGATAATGAGAATCACACATTATTTATCTTCAATCTAGGCATCACTCCAATTCACTGGAGAATGAGTGTTTCTGGTTGACGAAGATCTTCTGTACACGAAATAGACAATCTTTTCTCTCGCCGAGTGTTTGCACATAACAAGTGAAATAAGGAAAAGATTGAGAACAGACTCCCCCTTTCGTCTTCCCGTCCATGTGCAAACTCAAATGAAAATTTAGATCGACCCTGGCGAATTCCGCCCCTATAAATTGCACGTGGAATATTTGAGGGCCTCGCCTTGGAAGATATGCGGTGCAAGAAGTTAGTTAAACTCCATATCAAGAGTCTTCCAGAATTTGAGCTTCTTTTTTGTCCTCACTTGTGCACAAAATGCGACCATTTTTCCCTTCTGCCCACCCCCCCCACGCGACCCGAGGGCGGAAGTGCTGTGCAGCGGAGAAAGAGATACTTTCACCCCATGCAATTGTCCTGCGGGGTTGGAGAATTTTCTTTAGCATGATAATTTGTTTCCCAACTTCGGTAAATTAACAATTTCATTAATCATATTGGAAACTAAATGAAGTTGCGAGATTCTCGTTGTTCCATGTTTTTTTTCTTCTTCTTCTTTTTCTTCTTGTGGGAAAATCTCTGCCAAGTCTATACGCCGAGAGACACTAAATAGCCACAGCAAGAGATTTAATTAAAAATCGCGGAAAAGTTTGTAATTGTTTCACAGCGGAAAACACTCTTGGAAATAGACCGGAAGTTTGGTGAGACTTTGTCATGAAAACAAATTTATTGACTTGGAAAATATGTCCAGATTCAGGGGAAGCACAGGCAATTATGGTGTGTGTGTATGAGAAACTCTAGTGCCGATGTCTCAAAGTGTCTGAACCTCAGGACTTCACATTAGAAGCATTTTAGGAAATCTTTTTACCTTTCGAATGCAGTTGATTTCATCAAAATCAATTGAAAATTGTCTTAACTGTACAGCTTTTCCCGGGGCTTTGGAGATTGATTACAAAAAATATGCCTCGTGCAAATTTTCGCTATACCTGAGCATTTGTGGTTTTCAATCTCATCCCTGATGATTGATTCTCCATGTTTCAACCGAGAGACCACATATCATGCCAAGCGGGAGTGCATCGAGACTGGGGATTAGTGAAATGCAAGAGCGCCGTAATCCTCAATTCTTGTACCGCATTTCAAGGATTACATCCTCGTGAGAAATGGCGAGATGCTCCGATGCGTCCCAGGCCAATTGCGAGGGGTGGAAGTTCAATTTTGCACTCAACTTTTTGCGTGAGAGACTCTCGAGGATGCCGGAGGCCGGAGACAAATCACGGGGGAGCGCAAGAGTGCATCCAGACGCCTCGGCAATCATCGGAAGCAGCAATCCAAGAACAAGGAGTAATTATCAGCTTATTACACCCAAGTGAATTCCATCTCACACCCCCTAATGATAATGGGGATTAGATTGTGTTCAACACGAGCCACCAATCGAGTATCAACATCAAACCGAGGAATTCCCGGGCAAAAAAGACGAGCTCACAGCTTCTCGTCTTTCCTTGCTGGCGACTCTCTCTCTCTCTCTCTCGTGGTGGGCAAAAAGAAATTAATTAGAAATTGAGCTAAATGTAATTACCCAGTGAGTGGACTCAGAGTCAAAGGATCCCGCATTGATTTAATCAATATTTCTATAAGGACAATTTCCTGGTCGCTGCGAGAAAACCTTTGCAGTCAGGAGGATATTTCGAGTGGTTTTAATGAGATTGAGTGCATTCGAAGGGAAGGAGTTCCTTCAAGTTTAAAATACATTTTCATCTTAAATTTCATTTCCTACATGTCATATAAAGTAATTGCATTGGTAATTGCTTGTTAATTTATGCATCCTGATTATTTCCTCAATCTGTTTAATATATTTCTTAGTCTATTTTTCTTCTTATACATTTCCCAAATGGATTTATATTTGTTATCTCTTTTGCTAGTGCTTTTTAGAACTCATTCAGTTTCTTGTTAAATTACTTTGAAGGGTGATTTGTAGGTTTTCAGTCTGTGAGTGTAATTTTTCAGTGTAATTAGAATATTGTTTATATCTTTCTCTTTGTCTCTCTTGTTCCATCTCAAAATTTGTATTTTAAAGTAATTTGTAAGTTTTTCTTTCTATTGCTTATTGAGTACAGATTTTTCTGGGTTTGTATTTGTCCTTAATATTCTGAAAGGTTGGAAGATTTCTCAAGAAGTTCTTAATGTTTTGCTACGTATAATTTGTAGATTTCAAATGCAAATAATAATATGGGAAAAGCAGCGTAATTAATATGAAATCTCAAGATTCAGTAAGACAATCACACAGACAATTGTGTGATTATTTTTATAATTAACCTAAAAGTATGAATGCGAATTGCAATATAAAATCCATTTGTGACCACACTTGAGGAACAATTTTCACGCGGAATTCCACACTTTGTGCAATTATTAAGCAATCACAACAAGTGACCATTCTGGTGTAAATTCATATTTCCAGGTCATGCATTGTTGCAATTTCTCCTTGAGAAGAGACAATTAAAATGGTGCAATAATTAAAAATGAAATTTTTACCGAGGAATTTCATTTGATGTGTGACTTAATTGCCATCGTTTGTCGCTTGTTAGGTGAAAAATAATTCTCTCTGTTGGTGAGCAATCTGTTGTCCGGTGGTTTTCACGCTCGCAAGGAGAATTGTGAATATATTCGGAAAAAATATCCTTTGCTCCTCGCATTTTTTTCTCCCTTTCGCCAGAGACTTTTGATGAATTCTCTACCTTCTCATTTTGTGGGTTGAAAAACACAAAGGATGCGAGCATTTCCCGGTGCAGAGCAGCACATTTCCTATTCACTAATTTTCCGGTGGAAGCGCGGCCAATTAAAATTGGATGCTTTATTGAG